AACTTCAGAAACGACTCCCCCAAACCAGGACGTATGGTAATAACTATAACTATTTGTAAAATGCTGCCAGGTTTGTCACGTTTAGAAAAATTCATAGCACATTTGTTGGCACAAAATCTATTCTGAATAAATGGCTATAAAGATGTATATATAAAAGAAGGCATGTTTTAATGGCCCTATGTATTACACTGATGCAAGACAGACAGTAAGTGAACTAAATCTCTGCCATCAATCTGTATAGCTGAGGTACAGATCTGTTCCCTAAAAGCCTGTTAGGTCTTTTAATCCAATTATACTGAAAGCCTTCAAAATTTATCAAGAAACACTGCAGACTTTGGGGTTACTACAGGGGTGTGTGTGTGTGAGTGAGAGAGAGAGAGAGACAGACAGACAGAGAGACAGAGAGACAGAGAGACAGAGAGACAGAGAGAGGCCTTATTTAGCCAAGACACCTTTTTTCATTGCAGGAAGAAAACAAAACAAGAGTCCTGAAATATTTTAAGGCATATAAAGTTGAAAGCATCTCTGACAAGTTGTGAGAGTTGTTTTCTTACTTTCACTGTTTCAACATGAACTAATAACCCCAGGGAGGCTCAAACCTTCACTAGAATTTAAAACTGGAAGCCTGAAGCTCCAGTGCATAGCATCTAAAAGAGTTGCTAGGAGCCTTGACAGGAGATTAGGAGGAGGACAGGGCTGGGAAATGATGAGGGAATCCATGGTGAGTGGGTAAAGGGAGCCAACACTGTGCTCGAGAACTGGCAGGAGGGAAGAGCTGGGGGAAGCTAAATGTCTGGCAAAAATGCCAGTGCGAAGGAGTGAGAAGGAGGCGGATTATTCAGCAAGAGATGAGCCTCTCTCAGAGAATCAAACAGGTGCTGCTCCTATGGAAACCCAACTATTTTCTCCTTATTTGCCCTCAGGTTGTTCAACACAGGTCATACCTGCCACAGGCCACACAATTGGCAAGTTCGTTTCACCCAGCGTCAGGCAGACCCTTTCAGGGCCTGCTGTTGCACACAGAACCAAGAGACCCTGCCCTATTAGGTCAGACTGGCAACTCCCAGATAAGCTGGTACCCAGCCATCCCTTCACATAGTACTTTTGTATTGCATCCCACAGGAATGTTCCTTTGGTGTGCGCTCTCTCTCTCTCTCTCTCTCTCTCTCTCTCTCTCTCTCTCTCTCTCTCTCTCTCTCACCTCCAAATGATTCCCAGACTCCATTAGGTCCCATCCACATATGTCTGGTTTCTTTAGCCCCTAATTCAGTTTTCATTCTCCCTCGCCATTAATGGCATTTTCATTGTAGAAATTATGGTTCATTGATGTGGGGGGGGGGGGGGGCGGGGAGGTTGTGGGGCTTGAACTCTGGGCCTGGGCTCTTCAGCTCTTCAGCTCAAGGCAAGCACTCTACCACTTGAGCCACAGTGCCACTTCTGGTTTTCTGAGTGGTGTATTGGAGATAAGAATCTCATGGACTTTCCTGCCTGGGCTGGCTTTGAACTGTGATCCTCAGATCTCAGCCTCCTGAGTAGCTAGGATTACAAGTGTGAGCCACTGGCGCCCTGTTCATTGAATATTTTCTAACATAAAATTTATGGAGCTCTTTTGTAGCCAGAGATCAAGCTCATGAATGCCATCCACTGGGGCAACTTGGTGTGGTTTCAGACCCAACCGGGCCCTGGCCACTTTGTAACTATGCCACCTTGAACAAATGACTTCATCAAATTGAGCCTCAGTTTGTTCATTTGCAAAATGGGCCGAATGATGTATGTGATAGGTGCTGGTCAGTGGGTGAAAAGGGTTCTAGGTGCACATGGTTAGCACAGGGTCACTTGGCGTATATCACCTTCTTCTTCTTGCCTTTCCTTTTTGTTAAGGAGTAATACATAGGAGTTTCAACTGTATGAAATACAATACACCTGTGTGTGTGTGTGTGTGTGTGTGTGTGTGTGTGTGTGTGCGCGCGCGCGCGCACGTATTCCAGTACTGAGACTTAACTTCAGGGCCTAGGTGCTGTCCTTTAGCTTTTTCACTCAACACTGGTGCTCTACCACTTGAGCCACAGCTCCACTTCTGGCCTTTTGGTGGTGACTGGAAAGAAGAGTCTCATAGACTTTCCTGCCCATCCTGGCTTGGAACTGCTATCCTCAGATCTCAGCCTCTTAAGTAGCTAGGATTACAGGTCTGAGCCACTGATATACTGGTGCCTTGTTCTTTAAACTAGCTCCCTCTATGCCTCCAAAGAGTTTTTGCCCATTCTGCCCTGTTTCACGACCTCAAAGAAGTGAACTGCACCTTCCGCAGGACTGACTGCTTTGCTTCCATCTTACCCTTTCTTCCCATCACATTACTCTCTTATCCTGCTACCACCAAGATGTTCAAATTCCTTTTGTCACAGAAAGAAAAACCTTCCCTGCAGATGCTCCTTCATAGTATTTAAACTATTTTATAACAGAAAAAAAGTCATATGAAATGCGGTAGCTTTTAAGCAATGGCTAGATCGTAGAATGCTGGAGGCGAGGTACCACAGCACACTGCTGTGTGGTTCCCTTTTATTCAGGCACACCCAAACTAGGCCTATGCCAAAGGCAGGATGCTAATATTTGTCAGATTTTTAATATCATTTCATGCCTTGTTAAATGTTTAGATACTCCTTCAAAAATTATAACTTGGATTCCCAAGGGTGGTTGTTTGATAAGTGAGGGCCTGTTTGTCATCTACCACTTTTTAAAAGGCCTTTATATAACCAAAATGACTTGTTCCAATATATTTCCCGCCCCCCAATTAAACATAACTTGCTCTACTAGCTTTCTGGTAAGCCCCTAATGCTTTTCTATTTCTTTTTTTCCTTCTTTCCCCTTCTTCCTTCATCTTCTCTTTCCTTTCCCCTTTTAGTATTTGTGAGGCAGTATGTCATTATGTAGCCCAGGCTGGCCTTGAACTCACAATCCTTCAGCCTCCACAGTTCAAGTAAGAGGGAAAGTTTATGAGATTCCAATTAACCACCAAAAAAGCTGGAAGTGGAGCTGTGGCTCAATAGTAAAATGGTAGCTTTGTGCAAAAATGCTAAGGAATAGTGTTCAGGTCCTGAATACAAGCCACAGGAGAAACACACACACACACACACACACACACACACACACACACACACACACACACAAGAAGAGGTAGAAGAGTGAATTGTGCTTAATTGCAGAAATGCATTAGAAGACATCATTCTTTAAAGCAAAGGAGACATGGGTTTTCCAAGAACAGGGCCCATGCAGGACCATCATTTTCCCTACCTCCCAGCTGTAGTGAGGAACTTCCATCTGTCCTACAGGCCATATATAGCCTACCCAAATGGCTGTGGCAGTAATGACTGGTCCCTTGTAGACATATGGTCAATATCTACTGACTAAATGAATGACCAAATCCAAAAGAAAGAGTAACTCCCCCTACCATTCCCAACACCTGCAGAAAGACAGCTCTTGCAAAGAGAGAGTGTACATCATATTTGGGAAGCCACAGATTTATTTTCCTGGACAGAACTAAGAAATTATATGCAAAATGATGGAGAGGAAATAAAGAAGGAAAACAAAGAATGGTACTGGAAGCCTTGCCAGGATTTTAGTTTTAACCAATACTTCAATATTCTTATCTTCCTTTCTAATTACTGATTAAGCATCTATCCTGTGGAAAGCTACTACCAACACCCAGAGAAGGCGCTATGGATTCTGGGGGATTCCATAGTGAATAAAAGTAATCTTTACTCTCAAAAATCCTGGAGTCCTTTCATCCTGTGACATCCAGACACATATTGTTGTTGGCCATTGTTGTTCCAACAGTATTCAATGTAGGCAAACAATTTGTTCAGCCTCAGACATAGATGGTTCCAGCAGTGAGCAGATACATCAAGTAAAAGAAGTTGTAACATGGAATATGATACAATAACAGACAATTTGGAGGCAGCAAGAAGGACTTAAAATTTAAGGAAGAACTTTCTGCCCAGAGGGCTGTCTGGGGTTTTCAAATGGCCACTTGAATAGCTACAGAGCAAACTCAAGTTTATTTATAGCTAGGCATCAGCCCAGGTCTGCCAGCTTCCTTGGCTTCCAGGTTAAATGATGAACTCAGGTAGTAGAAAAGATAGATACTGATTTTGTTTTGATTGACCAGATTAAATTTTTCTTTTCTTTTCTTTTTTAAAAGTATTTATTTAGTGCCGGTGCTAGGGCTTGAACTCAGGGCTTGGGCACAGTTCCTTAGCTTTTTCACTCAAGGCTGGTGCTCTATCACATGAATGATAGCTCTATTTCCAGCTTTTGGTGGTTAAATGGAGTTTCAGACTTTCCTGCCCAGCTAGTTTGAACCTCAATTCTCAGATCTCAGACTCTGGAGTAGCTAGGATTATGAACCACTGGTACCTGGTGACTTTTTTGTTTTTGTTTTTGTTTTTTTTTTTTTTCAGTTGGTTGTGGGGCTTGAACTCTGGGCCTGGACCCTATCCGTCAGATCTTCAGCTCAAGGCTAGCGCCCTACCACTTGAAACACAGTGCCACTTCTGGTTTTCTGGAGGTTTATTGGAGATAAGAGTCTCCTGCCGGGATTGGCTTTAAGCCATGATCCTCAGATCTCAGCCCCCTGATTAGCTAGGATTACAGGTGGGAGCCACCAGCGCTCAGCTTGGTGACATTCTTTTTTAAATAGATGATGTTCTTAGAGCCAAGATTGAAAGTAAACTTTATTCAAAATCTAAATCAGAATTGTTTTATTTAGAGACAGGTTTCTGAGGGTCAGATGACACAGAGCAAATGAACGGTAAAGCAGACGAGGAAAGAAGAGAGACCTTGCCACCATACCTCCAACCACAGTTTTGTGAGAAAATACCTTGGTGTATTTCTGACATCTGAATTCTAAGATCATGGCCTAAAAGAAGATTTTGGCCTTATTTTTATGCATCTCATATATTTTTCTCTTTCTCTTTTCTTTCTTTCTTTTTTTTTTCTATCTGTAGGATGATGGCCTCCCTGAAAATGAACATCAACTGTCAGTAGCTGGAAAGATAAAGAAGCATTTCAACACAGGCCCCAAGCCGAACAGCACAGCAGCTGGAGTTTCTGTCATAGCAGTAAGCATCTGAAATATCTACCTCTAACTTTCTAAAAGCAGCCCGCCTAAGGTACAGGCATTACTCAGGAGATTCCACTCAAAGACAGGGGAAACAGGTCATTTCTTTAGACAGCTTCCCCATTAATGCAGGAGAGGAAGTACGGGGCTTCTGTGTATGTGTGAATGTGTTTGCAGAATATTTCCCTGGGTATCACATCATTATCTGACACCTCCGGGGTGTCTTGCAGTATATATTAATTTCATGATTTTTTTTAAACAAAAACTTCCCCTACACTGGACTGTATGCCAATGCAAACTTTCTAGCTCACAGGAAAAGAATTCAGTGTCTTTTTTGAGGCGGAGCAGTGAGGGGTCGGGGGTGTTGAGGTCAGGAACCTTAGAAAAGAAGCAAAGCTGAGATGTGATCTAGCAGAGGTTGGAACACTACAGATCTTTATCATCGACCTAAAGAAAAGCCAGAATCTAGGGAAAAGCTTCTACCAGATGATTTTTCAATGGGAATGAATTGCTGTGAACATCCAATGAAGTTACGATGTCTTGCTCCTTAGAAATTTCTGTTAAAGTGGAAAGTCTTTTTTTTTTAACATTTATCATTTTATTGATGATGCTGCACGAGGATTTTTGTTGTTGTTGTTTCTGTTCTATACATACAGGCATATACTACATACAATTCAATAGCTGCTCTAGGCAAAGATTAAATTGGCCCAGAAATAAAGAAAGTTCATACTTCTCTGGTGTCATATTCTAGAGTAAATATATTCAAGTCCCAGATTACTTGAGTTTTTAATAATTTCCTCTTTTTCTCAAGTATGTAAATTCAAATTGCATATTCAATGTGAAAACCACTTGGGCTGTTTTTCCTTTCTGAACAAAGAACTTGAGACACTCTGATGTTGAAAATGTAGAAATTATTTATGCTATTCAGCCATTCCTTCTGCTCATAAGCAGTACAGAATGTTTAACTCTTTCTCTGGGTGTTTCTATTTTCTTTCTTCTTTTTTTCTTTCTTGTTTGACTTTGCTAGAGCTACAAATAAAACTAAAGATTAATAAGTGATCTGTTTAGCCTGGCCAGTCCCAGATCTCAGTATTCAATATGGGCTTCCAGAATTTGCAAATGGTACAAATGCATTTGTACATGCTGTCGTACTCTTTGCTTAATGTTTCTCAATAGTGAGGTAGCAGATGTGTGGGTAACTGGCACAGAAACAGACTGGCATGTAAACAGAAGGCATACTCTTTCAGGTGTTCCTCAGTTATGCTGAGGTTTAAAATTCTTAAGCTGGTCTTGCTCTCTCTCTCTTAATTCTTTCCACAAAGAACTTAATCCATAGCTGGTTAGAGTTTTGGCTATTCACTGATCTCCAGTCACTTTTGCAAGTAGCAATCTCATCGGGATGCTCAATGAAACCAGCTCTTCTATAGTCTTTTTTCCCCATTGTTCATTGAAGAGACAAGTGTTCCCCAAAACATCTGGTTTCAGTGGTTCATAATTTTCTTTGGAAGAGGTTGCCAGAACGCTTGTCTATGAAAAGAACGGCTTTTCTGCTCCCACTCAGGTTTTAGTGCTGCTCCACAAAGTGTCATTGTGTGTTTGCTTTCCTTTTTTCCCCACCCTGGTCTTTTATTTTCCTGAGTCTGCTTAAAATTGCCTTGGTTGCTTTCTAATGGTTTGTTCACAGTATTATGGGAGTTCTATAATGAGTGGGGACAGGAACTTCAGGGTGATTTTCCAACTGATGGGCACTACAGATTGGGGTCGGGGGAGGAATTAAACCTGTATAAATTTTGAAACTTAACCTTAGAGTGTTTATTAAAATTTCATCTAACTGGATCTCAAAACACTCCATCTAATATTTGAAGATCAAAAGTCTACTGACTTTTTCCTCCTCTAAGTTTCATGATTGGACCATTTGGAATTCAATTTGGAATGCAAATTTCTCAGTTTGTCACTAACTTGTATGGAAAGCAAATTTCTCAGTTTGTCACTAACTTGTTTTGTATGGAAAGCACACATTAATTTTCTATGAAGTGTGAGGTGGCCTGAGTTACACATTGGCTGCATGTTTATTTAATGTGCCTTATCCACTACAAACGTTCAACTATCAACTCAGATTCAAATTAATTTTTGAGAAATAGATCTTTAAAAGTGCCTAGACAGCCCTGCAGCACAATTCACCATTCTGGTTAATACTTCAAGTATGAAAGAGAGTATCAAGATCAATTTCACAAGCTGTTTTAGGAGAAACTGACCTGCCATATTATGTGCATTTGTACACTTTCTCCCACGTGCTTTTCTCTCAGAAGCATCCCTACCTTCTACAAGAGGCTTCCCAGGGAGTCCACAGGTCTCTGAATGGGGCTGGGAAGTAGAAATGAGTCTGGCTGGCTGCTTTATGACTTTCAGAATAGCATAAATCTTTTTTATTCTGTTCTTAAAGTGCAAACACTAGACATTAGGGAAGAGGTCTGTCAAAAGATGAAAGTGGCCCTGGAATTAAATAATATTCATCCCCAAATCAAATGTGACAGCCCAATAACAAGATTCTGTTGTGAGATGGCATATATAGGTGAGTGGTAGAAAAAAATATATTCTATAACTGCTGTATTCTATAAAAACCATTCCACCGTTTCATAATTCTATACACATATTGACTCATACCATTAAAAGTTCTGTAATTAGCATAACACACTATCATTTCTATTTGATAGTGTAGAAAAACTGATTTTGGTATGATTTTCAGACATAGTTTTTTCATGCTCATTCATGCTCTTCCTGGACTCTATAGTATAATGAATTTTATTTTAAACTCCTTTTACTATAGGAGTGAGTTTTTAAATTTACACGTGCCCTTAATAATCTATTTAAAAGCTATTAAATTGTGAGCCAGGCCGCCAGTGTTTTACTTCTGTAGTACTAGCAACTCAGAAGCCTGAGATCTAAGGATCTGGTTTGAAGCCAGCCTGAGCAAGAAAATTTGTGAGACTCTTATCTCTAATTAACCCCCAATAAACCAGAAGTGGAGTTGTGGTTCAAGTGAGAGAACACTAGCCTTGAGCACAAATGTTTAGGGGCAGCACCTGAGCCCTGAGTTCAAGCCCCAGGAACAGCACGCACATATACAAACACACAATACTATTAGATTGTAATGTCAGGTAATTTTTCCCTTCAAGAAATCAACAGTTACGTCAGTAGTTTTTACCTGGTATATCTCTCTTTAGTTACATGCTTAAGTTGCCTGCTACAGATCACAGAGGCTGAGAACCAGGATTTCTGACACATTTTTCCTTAAAATGACAAAAGAAAATGAACTATAACAAACACAGTCTATTCATAGGTATAATTCATGGCATGAGCAGAGTTTAACATGTATGTATGGTTCTGAACCATAGCAGGGTTTTTTTTTTGTTCTCATTGTCATTTGTTTCTTCTCTCTGCTCTCATGTCCTACATTAATAAAACCAAAGGAAGGACAAATGATAACTTCATATGAAGGCTACACACAGTCCTCCAGTTGGCCAAGAGAATGCTTACCAGCTGGAGGTTGTGAGGGATCACAGGGAATTTCTGAAAGGAGGAAAGGTGTTCTGACCTTGGGTCAAGCAGTGTGATTAAGTGAAAGCTCATTACTGTCCATAGAATGGCAACATTTTGCCTCTTGGAAAGATCCCATTGTCCCTCTGCTAGCTTTCCCAGTAGTTAGGAGATTTAAAAAAAAAAAAAAAAAAAAAGCAGGGAGAAGGGTAAGGGAAACAAAAGGTTATTAAAATGCAATTTATAGACATAAAATGGAATTAGAGATGACATTTTAACGGTGGACTTTGTGAGAGCTGAGGGAAGAGAGGGAGGTCTTATTAGATTTGCTCGGTTTGATGAAGAACCGATGACTAAGATGTCAGTTCCAATTTATTTTTCCCCATTTAAGGCTGTTTATTATTTTAACCAATAATTTTCCTAATGCTTTAAAGTTCTTCTTTTGCATTTTGCTCATGCAAATAGAGCATTTCTGTCTAATTGAACAAATCCATACTAATCAGTGTACATCTAATTGTGATACTGGCAATCAGTTCTGAAAATACCTCATGCCCTGTTATATGGCATATGGCCTGTAGATGGCGGTAGAGAACCAGCTACTATGTAGCCTTCTTTGTGGACTAATTCACCAGCTTGCTGAGAGCAAGCATGCTTCAATTTTTTTTTCTGTAAATAAAATAAAATATATTTTTCAACAACATAAAATCTCACCTTGCTTTCCATGAATACTAGGATAGTCTAGTTTCTAACCAGAACACCAAATCCTTTGAGCACTTTTTCTTTTCTTTTCTTTTAGTTAAAATGCCTAGTGCCCAGGCATGTTTTTGAAATGCCTTTGTGAATTTAGAAGTAGAAACTGTCAAGAGCATCAAACCGATGCGACACTTGAAAGAGCTCATGAGCCTCTTTCTAAAGAAAGGTGTACCAGTTGCTTCTTACATGGGCAGAACAGGTAGAAGAGGCAAACGGCATGCTTACTATTCTCTAGGTTTGAGAATTGACTCTTCTATCCCCAGGTAGCCAAAAGTTAACATCTTATTCAAGGATTGAACAACTTTGAGAACTTACCCTGCCTTCTAGTTATTTTACCTTTTGTTAAATTATAAACTCTTAATTACACATATGCAATTTACTATACAGTGAAAAACCTCATGTTATTATCCTTAGTTACACCGAGAAACTTAACTGATAGCTTATTATATGATACCTCTTTAGTTCAGAAGTGTAACCAGAATTCATCTTTAAGAGTAGCTCTGCTTTTAAGGACCAGCTCTTAAAGAAAGAAATCCAGATTGCTGTGATTTGTGGATTTTTAAAACTTAATTCTTTCTCCCTTGTATTGAATAGTTTTGAAAGCCTTGCATTTAAGCCTCCTAGGGTATCATGGGAGGTGGGGAGTGAGGATGGGTGTCCAGTCCAGTCTGCTTTCTCTTAGGTGGCTAAAGCAGATTTTGGAACTTCATT